TTTGTCCTTTCCTTTGCCAAGCTTTCTAAAAAATATATGCATGAGTCATACTATTTTGGAAAAAAGTGTATATTAGTTAAATAAAGCATCAATAAATGATAAATAATATCAACCTACCCCATTAGACTATAACCTTTATGTGATCCACAGATGTAAACATGTTAACATCTGTGTGACTCACTGAATTATCCCAATGCATAGAAGAAACCCTGGCACATGTGCTAAATACATGTTTGTTAAATAAATGAATGATTCAAAATAGAAAAAAAATAAGTGTAAATGCGGTTTCAGTTTTATTCATTATTTATTCAACCTTTTATTTTCTTTTAAACAAAAAGACACAAATTTAAGTAGAAAAATTAGCTATTCTTAATTAGAGAGAATCTGATACACTTAGATTTTTTTTCAATGCTGTCATATTATAGATGTGTTGTAAACTTTTTCTTTTCCAGCTCATCTTTTAAAACTCAAACAAAGCCTGTCAGGCTAATTCAGATATTGCATTGTCTTTGTTAAACTAACAGATTCACACTTAGAATTAACATGGCTACGCATTGCTTTAATTTACTAGATAATTTTCTTCATAAGTTACTTTTTTTAAAATTTAGACACACCATAATTAAAATATGGTGGTGAAATGATTCTAAACCATCTTCCAGGCAACTGAAAGCAGCTGCTGTCGGCTTGCTGGATTTTATAGAAATACCCTTTTGTTTAATTAAATTTTTAGTTCAACATCATTAGGACCTATCCTAATTAGAAAAAAAAAAAATCCACATAAAATAGAGTTTAAGAACTATGTCCATCCTCTGAGTGTTTTCAACATCTAAGCCTCAGTGGGCAAAGTTGAATCTCAGGAGATAGCTTTTTTTTGCGTATTAACTTGATAGGCAAATTAGAGAAGAACATCTGGGGAACAGGATTCTGGGAAGGGCCAGATTCCCAAGAAACGCGAGATTATTGAAAGAAGTCAGGTTTACCCAGCGTCAAACACCAGCATAAAATGTCGAATTTCCCAGCATCCAAAGGAAGCACAGAGGCTGGCGATGCAGATTCTGGAGCAGGCATGATTTAGGGCTGTCAGCGCTGGGCTCTGCAGGGCCATGGTCACCTGTGCGCAGCCTGTTCTGGCCCTGAGGCTGTGGGAAGACCGCGTCCTCCGGTGTTTCAGAGCGCTGCCCCAACGAGACCCAGAAACAGGTAGATGAGGTTCATGCAGACAAGCATGTATTTTTCCAGCAGGAAATAAACGTGTTGTGTGTTAGAGTGTCAAATGCCATTAAGTTTTGTTATTTTGGTTTTGGTGGGGGTGGTGGTTGGACCCAAATATTACACAGTCCTCAAGAAATTAGTCCTCATTATAAAGGCGATTTTATTTAGCCTTTTCAGAAGCTCTACCTATATAGAAACAAAGTAAATACACTTTTATAAATTGGCTAGATTATAAAACTGTAGTCACTGGAAAGTAACCAAGGAAGAGATCTTGAGAAGGCAAAAGGCCGTTTGGTTTCCTCCAGGCAATATTGCTTATAATAGCAATACCATTATTGATTATATTTATTTTCATATAATTTCAACGAGAGCTACAAAATTAGATCTGTAGTTAGACTGGTTGCACTTGTATTAGTAAATGAAGCCTACTCAACATTTTTGGAGGCAGATTTTTTAATTTAATATAATCAGTAAGAGCTAGTGCATTCCTCTCTACTGAAAGTATTTAAGCAAAGAATGGTGAAGAACTAGATTCAGTTTCCTTTGTTATTTGAATATGTACTGTGGGAAGGGCTTTAGATTACTAGCGAATTGGGCCAAATGTCCTATGAGCACACTTGATAGTGATTCATCACTGTTTTACTTTCATTGTTGTCTCTCAAATCAAGCCCTAATTTTTCCTATTTTTTTTTTTAAATTTATTGCTCATTGTAAATTGAGTCCCATGTTAATATTCTTACAAAAAGTGAGAGAATACCAAGGCACAAAGGAAACATTGGCATTGTTATGATACTGAGAGAACTTGTGAGCATTGCTGTGACTCATGAAATCCTCCATCATATCTCCCTCTTTCTGAACAAATCAATCTGTGTAGATTGAATAATAATCTAATGTCTCTTAATTGTTCATTCAGTGGTTTCAAGCCAGCATTTCTGGAATAACCTGCCCTCAAACCAAGATATATACAACCAGTTTTACTTTGAATGAATGGCATAAGCTCTAGAAATAGAAGTGGAGTAGTCAGTGAAGATGATATTTGAGCAAAGATTGGAACCAATGGGATGTGAGCATGTGGAAAATATTCAGAGAGAATATTGCAAGGAACTGAAGGTGTTAAGTACGAAAGGGGGCAAGTCCTGGATAGTTCGAAAGGATGTCAAGGAAGCCAGAGTGCTGGGATCAGAACGAGCAAGGAGGAAAGTAGAGAAAGGTTAGAAAAGAATCTGGAGGCGAGATCAGGTTAGGCCCTGTAAGCCTTCAGTATTTTGGCCATCCCTGTGTAAGCCGAAAACTGCTGTGGGCTTTGAACACAAGAATGATAAAGTATCTCTTATGTCTTAAAATTTTCACTCTGGCTGCTTTATTGAGTATTTACTGACAAAGGGCAGGGTGGAGGTGGAGAGGCCTGTGAGCAGACTATAGTAACAATCCAGGTTAGAGATAATGACACTTTTTTGGAGGTGAAAGCCATGTTGGTGGTGAATACTGATCAGATTCTGAATATATTTTCAAGGGAGAGCCACGTAGTTTTACTAAAAGATCTTATGTGAGGTCTGAGAGAAATAGGAGTCAATTTCAAGGTTTGTGGCCTGAGCAAGCGGGAGGCAGGAGTGGCCATTGATGAGACGGGGAGGACTTCAAGAAGGCTGGCTTGTGTGTATGACAGGAATGCAGGATAGGGCATGCTAAGTTTCTGGTGCTGATTAGACATGCAAGTGTACATTTTAAAGAGGGCAGTTGTCTTACACAAGGCTTATGTTCAGGCTTGATGAATAAATTTGGGAATGTTGACAGCCAAGTAATGGCATTTAAAGTTAAGAGACTGGATGAAATTATGAAGGAAGTGAGGATAGATTGAGAAGTACTAAGCTCCGAGGGCATAACATTGGCAGGTTAGCAGATGTGGTGATGCTAGAAAAAGATATTAATAAAATGTAAAAAGCTGGGCCATAGAAGGGAAAACTCAGAGAGCATGTAATCATGGATGTCAAGTGACAAAAGCCTATCCAGGAAATGGGAGAAATCACCTTGCAGTGCTGCTGAAAGATGGAGACAATTAGGACTCGGGGAGGATGATTGGTTTTATGACATGGAGGCCCAGGGCAACAGGGCAGAGGTAAGGGAAAACTTTCATTGCAGTGGATTCAAGCAAATGGGGAAAATAGGGGCACCTAGGAGTGAAAATGCCTTTAAGGAATAGCAGTTTGTAAGAGTGAGCAGACAAATGCAGGAAGTATTTGGAGACCAGAGTAGCATCAAGTTATTTTCTTATTGATTTTGTCTTTTTAAAGGGAGATAAAAAATAATATGTGTACATACTGAGGAAATGATCCAGCAGAGTGGGGGCCTCTGTTGATCAGGAGAATAAGAGAGTATAATAGCAATGCCTATAATATCTTCCAGTATTAGGGAAGGTGTGGCACCTAGTGTGCGTTGGAGGGTTTTGCCTTAGACTGGATTGAGAGTTTATTCAGAAGAAAATTTAAGAAGCAGAGTGTTGTTGCTAATTCCAGTCGAGCCCATTTGACAGTTGAGTGGGTTTTGACTCATGGGGACCTCATGTATAATAGAACGAAATATTACCCAGTCCTGCACCATCTTCATGATTGTTGGTATGTTTGAGTCCTTTGTTGTGGCTGTATCAGTCCATCTCATGGAGGGTTTCCCTGGTTTTCTCAGATCCTCAACTTTATCAAGCAGAGTACACAGGATCAAATGGCGGTAGATGGGGGAATTTAGTTACCTGCTGACGTTCTCATTGGAGGACTTCAGTTCTTTCAGTAAAATAGGGCTTTTGCTGAGAGTGCAGGTAGCAAGGAAGAGGACTTAGAGTTAGAAAATAGAAGATCATATATGAAATAGACATTGATAAGAATGGAAAAGTGAATAGAAGAGAGACATGTAAAATGATTATTCTGCAGCATTACAGACAACCTCAGGTTTATTGGTCATGAATCTTAGGTTTGGTAACATTATGTGGCTTTTTTTTTTCCTAGCCCTCTCAGTTGGATCAATGCACATACATGGCAGATGGGATTTTGACTTTATCCAGAACTGGATTTGACTAGTGAATTAAATGAAAGCAAAGAAGGGATGTTATGTTGAATTTATGTAGGATGGAGTGATTACAGTGGTGGGCCATGATATCTATCAGGCTAAGAAAGGACATCTTTGAAGTGAGGTGTAGGTTAGCTTAGGGCTAACAAAAGGCTTCTCTCTCTCTCTCACACACACACACAGATTGATGAAAGTATAAATAAACTTTCAAGATGTCAGTAGGAGATATTCTTTGTCATCTTTTCAGAAAAAGCCCACATATGAGAAAAGAAAAGTACAGCTAACCTTCATTATTTTCCAATTCTGTGTTCCTGAATTCACCTAATTGCTAAAAATACTGCTTTCTCTGTCATTAGCAGAGCAGAGAAATCTTTGATGCTGAGGTTGAACAAGGTTTATTCTGTTGTTGCTAATTCAGTATTCACAGGAATGTAGCAGAACTTAACTACTGCATGTAATAAGAATCTTAAAGAAGCAAATCTTGTTTTTGATTTTATATGTGACTAAGTTTTTGAAAAGCTTTGTTGTTAGTTTGTGTGTTTCATTTTCATCAAAGTTCTTTTTTGCCTGTGTCTCTAGATCCTGGGCTTTATCTAGGTTTCAGAGAACCTGAACTCATGGAACTCACTGACTTTCCTTCCAAGATTTAATATCTACAGTCAGTTGTAAAATGTGTTCTTATAAAAGAGAGATGCAATTAAGTTATCAAGGAAGTGCCAGGATCTTTGTCATTCTAAAAAGCTGCACATAAAATCTAACTATTAAAAAGATCTCTGATGTTCCAAATATTGGGAAGGAAGAGTTATAAGTATTTTACTGCTTTTCATATTGTGCTTTTTCCAAATGTTTTTCCCTCCACAGGCAATGGAGCCCCAGAATGTATCCACTGTCACTGAGTTTCAGCTGCTAGGATTCCAGAATCTTCTTGAATGGCAGATGTTGCTCTTTGCTATTTTCCTGATCATTTACTTCCTTACGATCATGGAGAATGTTATCATCATCACAGTGGTGAGCCAGGACCAGCAACTGTGCCTACCTATGTACACATTCCTCAAGCACCTCTCTTTTCTAGAGATCTGCTATACCTCAACCATTGTACCACTTCTCCTAGCCAACTTACTTTCCTGGGGCCAAGTCATCTCCTTCTCTGCTTATATGGCCCAGCTCTATTTCTTTGTCTTCTTTGGGGCTACTGAGTGCTTTCTTCTGGCCATGATGGCCTATGACTGATATCTGGCCATCTGTAGCCCACTCCACTACTCCTTCTTGATGAGTCCTGGGATCTGTGCCAAGTTGGTGGCCATCTGCTGGTTGACAGGGGTTGGCACAGACTTTCTGCCTTCCCTGATGATTTCCAAGTTGGAATTCTGTGGACCCAACCAGATCAATCATTTCTTCTGTGATCTCCCTCCTCTTATGCAGTTGTCATGTTCCAGCATTTATACCACTGAGTTGGTAATCTTCATCCTGTCCATTGCTGTGCTGTGCATTTGTTTTCTTCTTACACTTGTGTCCTATGTTTTCATTGTGTCTTCCATATTGAGAATTCCTTCCACCTCTGGCCGGATGAAGACCTTTTCCACTTGTGGATCCCATCTGGCTGTTGTGACTATCTACTATGGGACCATGATCTCCATGTATGTCCGTCCCAATGCCCACTTGTCACTGGAAATCAACAAGATTATTTCTGTCTTCCACACTGTTGTCACCCCACTACTGAACCCTGTTATCTACAGCTTGAGGAATAAAGACTTCAAAGAGGCTGTTAAGAAAGTCATGAGAAAAAAATGTGGCATATATGGAGTAAGAGTGAAAGGAAGTATCTTTATTAGATAATGAAAAGATGCCCGGAAGACACAGTGGATGAAGTACTGGGATAATGAGTGGCAGATTCAGAACCTTCAAACCTGAATCTCATCTTCAGTACCACATTAATTTTCCAAAAGTCGTAATGAAACAGCTTCCTGGTCAGAAAGATTAATTGCCTTTATCCAATCATTTTGGGGGCAGTTGAGTCTTTAGACACATACTTTCATCTTTTGAAGGGAATCTGATTGTACAATGCCAACGCTTCAGGATTATATACACATAACTACAGGATTGTGTTCATATAGCCATATGTACGGAAAGTTGCATATCCTTTCAGTAGTTTTAGGAGACTAGCCTTGTAGACTCAACCCCTGGTGTCATTGGTGCTCATTATATGTTTGTAGAATGAATGAATGAAGAAAAGAAGAAGCTATCTGAAACATGTGTTGACCTAAACTCTCTCCTGCTGACAAGAAATAACAAAGAAGGATTTTTGATGTGCCAAACATTTATCTATAGTAACTTAAACTTTTTAATGTTTTGTTGTATAGTAATAAGCTACAAAGGAAGGAAGGAAAATTCAAACTATTATATGTTATTTATGACCCTGGGAGGCAAAGTATGTACCTTAAAAAACTGAAATAGCTTTTATGTTTTCTTTAATTCAGCCAGTACTTGCAAGACATCTATTAATCCTGACCACTATTTTATTAATTAATTCCACAGATATTTTTAATCCCCTGTTATATGCCAGGTCCTGTGCTACAGTCTAGGTTGCTCTGGGATGCACTGATAAAAATAGCCCAAGGAAAGCTCCACCTTAATGGAGCCTCTAGTCTAGAAAGGGGAGAAATATGTAATGAACTATGAAGTGAGTAAGTGACTTATTTCTATTTGAGATCATTGCTATGAAGAAATAAATTGAAAGCTGGTGCATGAACATAGAACAGTAAGGTCTAATTCAACATGGAGGGTTAGACAAGATCTCTGCGTTTAAGTAGTGCTTTAACTTACACTCCAAGGATGAGGGGAATAGAATGGAATGAGTGTCTTAGGCAGAGATATTGGCATGAATGTCAGGAGAGGAGACTGGGGAGCAAGGAGAAGGAGATGAGATGGGAGAGAAAGTCAGGAGCTAGTCCATGTAGGTCCTTAAATCTGTTATGGAATAAATTGTGTCCCTCCAAAATAAATGTTGGCACCCTAACCCCTATATATAATCTTGTTTGGGAATAGGGTAATTTCTTATGCTATTGAGACCATATGTGGGGGATAGGGTGTATCTTAAAACTAATCACTTTTGAGATATAAAAGGATGAGATTAGGCACAGAGAAGAGCAAGCACAAATGGGGGAAAGATAGATGTCATGTGAAGATCACCAAGGAACCAAGGAATGCCAATGCTGGGGCTAAAGAAGGATTTTTCCCCAGTTTCCTCTGAAACTGGTGTCCTGAATTCAGACTTCTCGACTCCTGAAATGTAAGAAAATAAATTTCTATTCTTTAAAGCCACCCATTTTTGGTAGTTCTGTTACACCACTGCTAAGAAACTAAGACAAAAGCCCTGTAGAATTTTTGCATTTTACACTAAAAAAAATGATTGTTGAACAATACTGATTAGGAAATGACATGACACATTTTGCATTTACAAATTCCATTGTTGATAGATTTTCCTGAAGGACACAGGATGATCACAGGGGCTTATTATGAGGAAGTCGTAAGAAAACTGAAAACTGCGGTGGTGAAAATAAGACCAGGAATGTTGCGCCGAGGAATTTTTTTCCCATCACGACAATGCACCTGCTCATTCTTCAAGGGTAGCAAGGGCTGTCTTAGGAGAAGTTTCACTGGGAAGCCTTACCTTATCCACCCTATAGCCCTGATCTTGCCCTTTTGGACTTGTGTTTTTGTTCCCCAAACTCAAAGATCATTTAAAAGGAACACGATTTGTTCTGTAAATCGAAGAGCGCAGAATTCTTCCGGGAAGGGTTAGAGATGGAAACACTGCCTTCAGAAGTGTATACCTAGATGGATGATATGTTGAGAAACAATAGCTTCACATGTTGATATTTTTGTTTAATAAAACTTTCTATGATTTTGTAGCAATACTTTTTGAGTTACCCTCATATTTTCCTCTCACCACGTCAGTGGGTTATTTTATACTTCTTCAAGTCCTCAAGTTTCCTCTTCCTCTTGGGCCTTGGTCTGTGAGGGCTATTGTTGTTCCTTCTCTGAAACATCTTGTTCAAATGTTGGGTAGAGAATGAAGCTTT